AATTACTTTCTAAAGACTGAACAAAGACATGGCGTAAGAAACTCCCCATCCTCACTTGAATCATGTAACCAGCAGCGATCCAACCTTCTTCCGGAGACAACAAGTTGTGCACTGAATAATGGGACTTTAGTTGAGCCTGTTGTAATCCCCTGTACAGTAAAATTCAAATTGCAAGAAGAAGGTGCAGCACTGGGAGCAAATCTGTTATACTGCATGCAAATATACTGACAAGGGACAGAGTGACAGGAGGAGAAAGCAGAGTGAGCAGAGGAATGAATTCATCAGTCTGCTGATCTTTTACAGTCCAGTCACAGGCTGGGGAGATGGAGGTGACCTAGCTGTATTGCCCAACTGTTGTACAGTAAAATCAGGTCACTGGCCTGGCTGTGCTGTCTGAAAGGGTTGTGTAAACACTCAGGACTTAATGGATAAAAATATATTTTAAGTGATTATAAAGTCAAAAGGTTTTAAAACTATTTCAAATGCTGATTAAATCACTTGCAATGGATGCTGCTCCTTGATTTTTAAAAGTTCTAGTTTCCTGCAGAATCAGCTGGTCCCCTGATCACTGGCCCTAATATAATGTTTTAGGGTGGCTCCTTTCTCTTGTAGGGTCCTATGGTGCTACTAAACTGTAAGGGTCTCCAAACACACAGGCACAGCAGGGCAACCCAGTCCCCTGCTCCCTTCAACAAGTTAGTAGAGAGACAGTGTCTGTCCCTCATGATCTTGTACTCAACAAGAAGTTCAGGGAAGCTGAGCTGAGAGCTGTACAGAAACTGCAAGTCCTTTAGACTCTGGATTTATTTGTCAGGGAGTTCAGTTTAAAAAAATATATAATCTCAATATCATATGATCATATGTACTGGGACATACAGAAACAATCAGTAAAGGGCTGGCTGTAGAAGTTCACTTACCTCATAGGCCTCTCCTGTGAAATCACTGCCACAGAATTCACATCGAACTTTGCGCTTAGGACAGTCGTGCTGCATGTGGTCTGGCAAGTCTTTGCGGATCAGTTTGGTGCTGCAGCGGTTGGGGCAAGGGATCACATTAAAGGCACAAACACTGAGATGAGTCTGAGGGAACAAAATGGTAATTTAATGACGTGATTTTCCATTTCAAAACAGAATCACAATGTTAATGTGCAAAACCGAAGATCTTTGTTTAGTCAGGATGTTTCTTACCAGCAGCAAAGGTTCAGTAAGTGTCTGTAAACCTCTAGTGACAATGGTCTTTTCAACATTGTACATTAAAGTAGAACTGAAGGCAAAACCTTTTTTTTTTGTTGGTTTGTTTAGTTTTGGATAGTATAAGGGAGGGTTATAAACACATCTATGTCCCATTGACATCCACTTCTGCCTGATGGCCACATCAGGATGTGAGAGCAAAACACCAAAGAGGGAAATCCCCCAGGGTTACAAGATCTAGTGTCCTCTTTGGAAGATTTCCCATCTATTCTTGTTCTCGTGACAACACAAAATTTACAGCTGTCAGATGTTCCAATCCTTCTCCACACTATTAAAACTATAAAAAAAAAAATTCCCAGCAATAGTCACATTATAGGGCCAGTTTGGATTGAAGTTAATAAATGTGCAAGACTGCTTTTGATTCTGGGAGGATATTTAAGACGCACAGGGAGACCACATAATGTCTGTGGTGGGGGGTGTTAAATCGCGAGCAGTGTGTCATAATGCACAAGTGCTATGAAACTGCCACCATGCTGCCCAATTTTGCAACCCGACAACTGGCAAAAATGACTAAATATTTTTGTTGCTGACCGATACCTCTCTGAAGTATATACTTAATAGCTTTAAAAAAGAAAATTACAGCTTTGGGGATGGAAGAGATGTATAGCTCAATGTATTCCATGCCTACAAAATACCTAATCCATTTCTGGAAAAAACCACATGCTAGAAAATAGAACATGCCGATGAAATATTTACTCCTTGACTGGACTGGGGGAAGTACATCACATAAACGGCAACTACCAAACCACAGTCAGAGAACAAATGTAGCAGCCAATATGTGGTTGGTTCGTCTGAATGCAACTTCTCCAAGACTCACGATAATACAAAAACATGTGTAATAAGTCATACAGGCTTATCCTATCAGGCAGTACAAACTGCAGTGATAATGGGAGCCTTGCTCTTTGTTTTACTGAACAGACCCAGTAGTAATTACCTCCAGAATTCTAAATACAGCTGCCAATAACCTCACCTGGAGCTGCTTCAGCTGCCCACTCCAGCGACAACCCTCTTCACTATGTATACATCGTATAGACAGACTGAGGACTTGAGTTTCCAGCTCTCGATCTGGGTAGATCTGAAAAAAAATACATAGACCTTTCATAAACATTGTCTCACCAATGATAAAGAAACAGTGTATTCTGACAAATACAAAGAAAGCATTTTCACCGGGGTGCCACCTAGTGTGCCCAGAGCTAGATCCATGCCAAGGGTCATTTTACTGACAAGTGTGTAGTAAAGCACACACATGACAGCTGCCAGTTCAGCTGTGTCTCTGTCACTCAACGAAGCATTTGTCACAGGCTGGCACAAGGGGAAAAAATAAGTCTTTGTAATATCATGTCGAAACATTCCATCAATCCTACAGAACACGTGCAGCAGGAAAGGGATATGGAAGGAGGAAGGGGAGAGCTTTGCCTCCATGGATAATAGTAGGCCAGGCTGACATATTCAGAATAGCCATTCATAGTACAGCCCAACACACCAGCACAGCCTCTCCTGTAGTGCTGCTACCACAAAGCCTCTTTTCTCTCGTGCATCTCAATACTGTACTGACGTTGCTTTATCTCCAGTCAGTGCTGGGTTTGGCTCGGACACAAGGCACAAAAGCATGGTTTATACTCCTCTCGGAGCTGCATTTAAAAAGGCGCCTGGAACAGAAGGGCATTGTTGTGGGTCAGGGTGTCGCCTGGGCTCAGCTTATAGTGGTTCTGGAGAGGTTTTCTTTGGCAAGGGCTCCATTGGCTGGGTCTGCTTAGGGGCTATTTTAGAAGACAGCTTCTCAAGTAGAACAAACAAAAATATCTGTCACTGAACAGGAGAAAACTAATCTGCTGCATACTAACAAACTAATCCTTCCAATGACTTGGAACGCTTCTTCTAAGATGAAACAGTCCTTTTGTTCAGGTATGACATTCACGTGTAAGACTATGTTTACCAAAGCTCTGTAAACAATGGTGGAAATATTAAGCTCCTTCCTTTGAGTCACCATTGGAAATCTTTCTTGAAAAACATACGTTATACTTCCAAAGACCAGGGATGGAATTACATTTTCCAGTCACAGTTTTATGGCAGACAGAGACAGAGGGAGCACAGTCAGACCTGCGACTTTGTTTTCTTTTTGAATTAACACTACTAAAGTGTATGCAAACCCTAACAGTCAAATTATTTTCTTTGCTCCCTTTTGAGCTGATACATAAATTGTACATGTCTTTTTATAACTGTATGATAAATGCAGAAATAATTTTTGACCCTGCCAGAAAACCAACGAGCTTGTAACTTCCTGTGCACTCTGCTTGAGCTGCACAGAAATTCCAAACAGTGTAATCAGCCCTGCCCAGTTAAGTCTGTGTAATACCCCCCACATGTTATGGAGAGGAGGAGAGTTACCCTGTTCTATTTTTTTTCCGTTCAACCCACAGGCTAAAAAACGAAAAAAAAAAAAAAAACAAGATTCCTCCCATCAATGCTTACATGCATTGATCAAGGAATCCCCGCTGCTTCTTTTGTATTCCATCGGCTGCTGTCAGAATACCCAAGGTGTGCTGGCAGCTCGTTGGCTGCCAGCGCTGTTTGTTCTAAATTTTTCCGATCAGTTCATTCAATCTGCTGATCGAGGGATGCAGGCCAAAGGGGTGCAGACAGTGGCACCCACTGTGCGAATTTCGGCCGGTTCGAAGAACTTTGCATAATGTATGGTCAGCTTTATGGGGAGGAGGTGTTCTGTTGCCCTAACACTTCCTGCCCTAAAACCGATATGCTACTGAAGATGCGGTTAGTCCATAGATACAAAACACTGAATAAGCGTTGGTACTGTAGGACTGGAAACGTGTTACTGACAGGATTACTGGGTAAAAATTAAGAAAGAAAGCCCGAGAAGGAAAATCAACACAGCTACTCCATTAAATGCATGGTCCATTAAATGCATGGTGAACCTTTTTGTTCTTGGGTTTAGATACACACTTAGAAGCCTATTTGAACGACTGTCACAGAAATGTACAAGTAGTGAGGCAGTCCAATAGTGATCCTCCATATTTTTCCTGTAAATCCCCAACTTTCCCAAATATGCATGTGCCAATTTGTTCAATCCACAGAGAATCGACAAATTCAAGAACGCAGCAATCTGTATTTGTGAATTGCTCAGTTCTCTGTAGTTCCGATTCTGCTTAAACATATTCAGATAATTGCTCAACAGTGATTTACTTATCTCTACTAACCATATGTGTTCCAGCATAAAGTCAAAGCTCACTTATGCCAATATACTGTATCTACAATATGTACAAATAGGAACATATTAGAGGCAAGAGCCTGGACTGATTTCCTTATATAATAGGCCAGTGAATAAAATATATTGCCATATTATCCAACTAACTTATTTTATAAAATAAATGTAACCGATAACATTCTATTAGAAGAAGGGTGATAGAGGGCACTCAGGCAGTGGAAGGACCTAGTTATTACAGGAGATATTCCAACTTTTTTATAACAAAGTACCATGTATGCACCTATGCCAAAACTGTAAAGCCCGTGACACATTGCACATGAAGCCATGCAGAGCGAAGCAAAGCGCTCAGGCACGGAGCTTCGCGTGCAGTATGTGAGCTGAGTGCAGGCAGATGAATGACAGCACCTTCAGCGTAACAACCGGCTGGACGTCGCATCCTGACGCACAGGTTTATACGCGCGAGACGATTGTCTGATGAAATTTTTCAACCCGGCATGCTCAGCTATGCGAGCTCTCGCAAGCCAACGTGCCAGAGAGAAATTTACATGACACACTGCGCGCGAAGGCAGCGCGCCGCTTCGCGTGCAGTGTGTCACAGCCTTAAGAGGATTGTGTTGGCTCCTGTCACCGAGAATTGTGTAGGGACAGGTATCAGAACACTTCTCCCTTCGTTCTTGTAGAAATATGTACTTCCTATGGCCAGTCCACGTTTGTATTTGTTCAAAAGGAATTTGGGTTCTCCACAAGAGTTGTTCAACAATTGTTAGAAAAAAAACACAGGTCTTACCTTTGCGTAGTCTAGTGGAAGCTGGTCTTCTGGGCATTTAAAAACACCTTCACTGCAAAACAAAAACAACAAAAAAAAAAAAGAGACCTTAAATAAACAAAAACCCATGAAGAGCTAACATTACTATGTAGCAAAAAACATACTGGGTGTAAACATGAATGCCTTTTTTGTTTCAGGAAGAAACAGATCACAGTGTACTAGGCATATAAAAACACAGACTGGAAGATCTTCTAAACATCTATTGATTCATCCAGGTCTCTGTCTAGCACAAGCCTCCTGTGATGCAGTCAGTTTCATTAACATCTTTTTAGAACATGAAAACGTCTCTTCTTACTAGGTGGAACTTACAGGAAAAAAACTGAGAAAAACAAATGATCAGGGGAAAGAGAAACTGTGCTCGCTTTACTAGCCTTGCATGAGATAACTGCTACATAACCAAAATCACAGACTAGGTTATGTAAGAGACCAATGTTACAATTTACATATTTATAGGCAAATATTCCTAAACGCATTAGCAATAAAAAAAATTTACTGTGATAAAAAAGGAGGCTTTAAACCATATTCTCATTATATCTCATTATTTCTCTCCATCAGAATTACAGAGCAGCTATGGGAGAGTAAACTTAAAGTGTTATATCCTTTCATTCTCTTGACCCTGCAGAAGGCTACTGTAATAGTACTTTAGATTAGTCTTTGGGTAAAATGAGCATATCTAACCTTCCAGAAATAGAAAGAAAAAAAAAAGTTCTGTTGGTCGTCCATATGTTTAACAGAAACAAAACTATACATCTGTTAGTGGCCGCCACGTGGTTAACCTTCCCTTCCATGTGCTGATCTGAACCTAGGCTAACTCGTCAGCTTTCAACTGCTTCCAAAAATGTACAAGAAAGACCAGTACTTATAGATAGATATTTAGCAGCCAAATAACTACTTTGAAAAAGCCTAGAGTGCTAACCTTAATAATATGAGAGAAATGTAAATTCTGCCTCTATTCAGCAAGCCGGAAAGTTTTTCATCTTTTATATCAAAGACTTCAGCTTATCACGAGGGTTAGCATTTGCTATATTTAATGAGAGTAAAAGTACAGTAGTAACCAAACTGAACACGAGATGGCTGGCCTCAGGGCATGTTCTATAATGTAATAAAAACATAATTATGTATATCAAACACAACAGTATTAGAAGAGTCTTTACTTCAAGATAATTAGGAGGAAATTATTTTATTCCAAGTTTGCAAATTAAATAGTGCATGAAAAGCAATTTGGCACAGAGTAACCCTGGACTAACTAAAAGGCCCTTACAATGTAATGTGTACTGAAGTTTATAACATGTGAGCAGAACTAAACTGCGGTCACATTTAGTCGCACTTAGTAACCCTGATGACCGTCACCTTCCCATCCATGTTTTAGCCCATAGAACAGAGAGGAAATGCAGATGCATTCAGCTCTGACTTGTCTCAGGAGAAACATATTGACTGAACAAGGTCTTCTTCTAACCTGCGTATCCCCAAGATCAGTAAGCTAGCAGTGTATGCTGGGTTCATAGACAAATTATTGCGCAATCCAGCTGAAAGCAGCAAGATCTAGCGATGCTAAATATATATGATCGGCCTGATTAGCCAACAGAGTAAGTTATAGCCACTCTGGGGGTGGAGTTTATTAAAAGTACCAGCTAGTATAAGCCAATCAGATACCCTTGGCCAATTGATCTTTGGGGGAAAGGAGGAGGTCTATCTCAGCCAATAGTCTGTTGATTCTCCAAGATAAGTATGTATAGGGGTATATGAGGAGTTCAAAAGATGCATATGCTCATCTGTAACAAGACTTAATATATACTAATCATTTAGAACAGATGCTCCTAAAAACAAAATGGAGGACCTTCTTGTACGAGAGAATTGGGTCTTTCACCCTTCAATACGCAGGGCTCTGATGTGGAGCATAGATATAAATTATCATACAATATTTCATCTGCGTCTATGTCACAACTACCTGTTATAGTACAGCAGCACTATTTAGCACATGTGAAAGTCCATGGATGTGGCAAACAGTGTTGTGAAGCACCAACCCCTTCTGTCAAGTCCTTCTTTCTATAAGCTGCTGAAGTAGGTGTAAAAAGCCATACATCTGGGTGAACTGTTTCTACAGATAGAATGTAGGGACGACGGATTAAATATGTTGCTCAATAATAAATGACTGATTCATTACACAGATTCAATTAACTGGATTTACAACAGTCTCCCAGAGAGTATGAGATCTGTACTTTACATACAGTCATAGATCTAAGAAGGCACCTTCTAAATAACCTCATGACAAGACTGGTTGTTTTTCGGCTTTCAAATTTCAGCATGGTTTCACTGAAAGGTTTGTGCAAAATATATTTCAAGTTATCATTTAATTCATATTTTAGGATGTCCTCCATATCAGCATCTAAAAAACAAGCACTATAACCAATAAGCCAAAGCCCTGTGGACCACATGTCAAGCTTCACCCAGGAGAGACGAAAGGTCTCATTACATGAATACACACTCTTCATAACCGTGTGTAAAATCTCCCAGAGGAACTGAGATCTGTTGAGAGAGATTTAGTAAACTAGTTTCAGTGTATCTGGCACTCCTATGCTGCAAATGATTCAATATGAACCCAATTACTGAGCACATCTGGGCTAACTTGCAGATGCTGCTACAGTCCACTCTGCCAGCTGGCTGCTAAAGACTTTCATTCTGAACTCTCTCTCCTCTCATGTAACTTCCTCCCTCTGTATAACCTCAGCTCTGCTACAAAAGCAAATACTTGACACACTGGCTCATGTGTTTCACACAACATGCTGCGTGTTCCGTCCTCATGCAAACTCCAAGGTGCGATTCCCCAGCTCCAAGTGCTCTCCCCAAGTTCTGGACAAAACTATAATTCTATTAGTCCAAACAACAGCAATTAAACTCTATATCTGTTTTTTTTTTTACAAAAGTACCCAATGTCCTCTGTAGATTATGTTTTAGCATGATTTCTATTATTAGTGTTACAAATGTTTTTAAAAACTACTAGTGACGTTTTCTTCTGCTGCTGTGCTTACTGCTTATAAGTTGTGTCCACTTATTTGAAAATGGGATCAAAGCACGGTTCAAATTTCCATAAGCGCTCACCCACTGCTGAGGTCAATGTGTGCCTTGAGTTGTTCATTTAAAACCCATCTCCAAGCAAACAAAAACAAAAGTACCATTAACTGCTCGTGTTTGTCTTGAAGTAAAGCAGATTTACTTACCTGATCCCCGCTATCTCCCTCAGGGCCACTAGACCGCTCCCCACCACCTCTTGGGCTCCAGTGGTGTAAGGACCGCTGATGTCATCACATCTAATGCAGGTTCTATAGATCTGCATTAGACATGAGGATACCGGGGAACACTCCACTAGCTGGAGTGAATGGGGAGAGAAGAGGAGAGCGGTGGCCACCAGGAGAATGGGGATAAGCAAGTAAAAGTGCTTTATTCCAGGTTACCTAGAAAAAAAAAGGAGCACTTAATTTTAGCACAGCGTTTCTCAACCTTTTTTACAGCCACGGCACCTTTTAAAAGTAAACAAAATCGTGAGGTGCCCAGTCTAAAATGTAAAAAACGTAATTGGTAACAAAATACATGGGGTCCCTCCAAAATCAATCCCAGAATCTTATCCCCGATAGGGGTTTGGTAAGAATTTTAAGGGGGACCCCACGCAAGAGCCCCCTTTACATCATCAGGAGCCTCCTCTCTCTAGGAGACCTTCAAAGCAAAATCCCCCTTCACATCAGAGGCATAACACTGACAATTTTGAGGCAGCCCTGAGGAAGCCAGAAGGGACCCTAGTTGAGAAAGGCTGTTCTAGCAGTGCAAGGGTACTTTTGTTGTTTGCCCAGTGATGGGCCTTAAGTGGTTCCTCCCCGTAGGCACCCTGCACCATGGAACTCTACAAATATTAGGTTTTTAGAAGGTCTGTGCATTCACAGTTCAGAAATCTCAAAACCATAGCCGACTGTTCATAGATCATGCCTAGCCCCGAAAGGAAGATAAAAGTCTTGAGTTTGCCATGCCCTTCACAATCAGTAATATTAACCCATGTGAGAGAAATAGAAAGACAGCCGTTTGCATAATCTAAAGCCAGGCTCCGTGTATCTACCCTGCTGGGAATAATACCCCCTGTGAGCTAATATTTAACTTCACCTCTTGCAGAGAAAATAAACAGTCATCTTAAAAACAAGGACACAGAGGTTACTGTAACTTTAAAGCAAACATTCAATTTTCGCTCGAACTGTAACAGAGTTTATTTCACCCACCTCAGAGATCAGAAGCCTGCAACAGAAAACCACCAAATCCAGAAACACAGGACAGAACCATGACGAGACGGATGCACTGTAAATGTCGCAATCCATATGACTGAGTAATGTAACCAGCATAACAATTCCACCCTTAGTACTGGGCCATCCCTGAGCGTGTCACTTTCTAGTTATGACACATAGGATTGCGCCTACATACTACCAGGTCCAAAAGGGCAAGGCGAGAACAAACCTCAATCGTAAATACAGTTTATTTTTACTTTGGAAGATTCCATGAAAGCTCCCTGGAGCATGCAATACAGTTTCTAGCACAAAATATACCGTATTTTCATAGTGTGTTAGTAATCAAACATGCATACGTACTGGGTGCCCATGTGTACTGAGCCATAGGTCACAGAAGAATAAATGGAAACTATTATTGTTTTGGATCAGTTTTATTGCATTTATTATATAGCTATATTACATTTTACACTGATTTACCCACAACACCTGCATTACAGGCAATATAGCTCAGGGTGTACAGTCGAAGCCGTTTATTTTCATGCTCTTAATATTACAGAGTTGTCTGAACACAGGAGAGAGCAGGCGTCATATTTCAGCTTCAGCTGTTGAACTCTGTAAATGGCATGGTTTTCGTGCAAATAGAGATTCTAAAAAGAGTTGTCCACCTGCTGACTGCAAATAAAACATGCAAATTATATATATATAACTTTCTGTATATCCATCCACTGTTAGTTCACTTTAAGGTGTA